TTGTCTACTTTCATTAAGACCTGTGTGTCAAAGACTCCCAAGCCTTTCCTGGTGACCATGAAGCTTATCACTGTTGAAATTTGTTCCTAATCTTGAGGCTTCTTGTGTGTGTGCTTTTTTTTGTTTTGGTTGTTGTTTTTTTTCCTCCAACTCCACATCAGCAAATGAGAAAATCTTGAAACTGAATGAATCTACAGAGCATTGAATGAATATCTAGAGCAGTGGATAAACCTGCCATCATGTAACAGCAAACAACTAGAGAATACTTTTATTTAAATGTTACTGTCAGAGCTGAACCAGACCCCATAGTAATAAATAACATCATCTTTTTACAGTTAAGTAAATAAGGATATGTTATTTTCTTTTTTCAATCTTTAAAGATAAAAGGAAATGTATTTAGATAAAGGAACTTCATGATTCAGCATGTCTTACCCATTACACCACATAAAATTTTGCTTACCCGAGTAGAAAAAGTTTTTTTTCCACCCCCAAATTTTTAGACAATTTTTGCAAGGACAGTTAGTTCCTACAGTAACCCTACTGCTGACATCTAAATCAAATTCAGACAGGTAGAAGAGACCAAAACTAGTTCCGATTCATTCAATTCACCTATTCTCAAAGGCAACAGACAGCTGAGGGAACTTCACTTGTTGCACCACAACCAAACACAGCACATGCTTACACAGCCAGGAAGGAAGTCCTGAATGGAGGAAGGGAAGAGAAGGAGAAGGAGGATAAGACTTCAGGAACTACTGAGAGAGGTCAGAGTATGTAAGAAAAGGTGAGTATATTAGGGAATGTGTTTATTCATTAGTACAGAGTTATACAAATTGTATTTTATTTCCTCTTGGAATTATTATTGAACAACTGATTTTCTAAAAGCATTCAACAACAGCACTCTTCTCAATCTAAATCCTAATGTTCTGAACACCAGGAACGCTACAAGTAAAACAGGATGAAAGTTCTAGTAAACACCAATTTACTTAACAGGGAAATGCAATTTCTGTTTCAAGTTTTTCTTTTATATATGCTGAGGTAGACCATGGTATAAAGGCAGATTAGGATGAGAACTCTGACAGATCAGTACTCTCATACAGAGGCAAATGCCTGCCTCCTTACCATTGCTACCACTCCCTTATCACTCCTTTCCAAGTTTTATTAACTAATAAGGAACATATTACAGAGCACTGCCACAAATATGGTATTGATAACCTGATAACTAGAAGGTTCCTTTACAAAATACACAAATTAAATTGTCTGATGACCAGTCATGAAGATTTTATTTTTCCCCAATCCAAATGGCAAAATTAATTTTGTCCAGATAGATGAAAGCCCATAAGTACAAAAGGAAAAGGTAATCCTGTCTTTTTTATTATCATCTTCCAGAAGTACATAAAAAAAAAAAGAAAGGAAAAAAGGCATAACAACCAGCAGGTTATTTCAAAGACAAGCAGATGCTAGGTACACACAGCGATACACCTGATCCTGAATATACAGCAACTTCTGCTGCTGCCTTCAAAACCCAGAATGGACTCGCATCCAATCTTACAGCATGCTTATATATGCTTCATTGTACAAGACACTGCATATAGCACATCACATTAGACTAAAATTCAGTGCTAACTGTTGACATTTTGGTACACCAGTTCAATCTCTGCTTAAAACCGAACACGAATATCCCGTATGAACATTTAAATTATTCCCTTCTGATCAAGTCACCAATACCTCTTTCATCATTCTTCAGCACACACACACTTTTAAGTTATAGCTCACTCCATTTCTTTAGTGTTTAGTTTCTTCTATTAGTTTTTAAGATGATAATTAGTAATTAATAAAACATTAATGAATAAGCCCTTTGTATTTAAGCATACAAATAACATAGTAGAGAAATCTGTGCACCTACAGACAGCAGAAAGTAAACAAGTTACACTTGTTTTTCTGCTTCTCCCTGTTTATTTCAAGTGCTGGAAGAAGAAAGCAGTGGTCCAGACCAGAGACACACTTGTGGAATGTGGAAATCAGAGAAGGAATCCCTCTCCTCTGGCATGAAATTGTAATAGTATTCTATAAGAAGAGAAATAGATTGTGCTCCGCACTGGAAGAGCATGGAAGAGAAGGGAATTACTTAAAGTTAAATTTCCGCTTTCCTGGATTTAATACTCAGAGGTCACTGTATTGTTTTCAGTAAATACTGGCCTTCACACGTACAGGTATAGACTAAAATGTGCTAATTAGAAACTTAGCAGGATATTAGGGAACTTATTGCTATGTGGATACCAAGTATCTCATATTAAAAAACAAAAAAGCTGAACATCCTTAGAAGAGGATAATACAAAAAAATGCTAACTTTCACCACAAATTTGGCAATCTGCTGTTTCCTTTATTCTGCTCTTGATATGTTTTCATTTTTCAATTTTAGGGACTCAAAGGAAAAAAGTTTATGCCACAGAACTCTCACTTGGCAAGTATGAGTGACAGGGATTTGCATCTCCAACCAAAGGCATCTTCAGGAAGGGGAAAGTGTATGAGACTAGTTTAATCTCATTTGCTAAGCACTCAGTTTCCACACCACAAACACTAGTGCTTACTGACCAAGCCTTCCTGCTTCACAACTTGCAGGCTTCGCAATATAAGAAGGGCTTCAAATATCAGAACAAATTCTAGGGTTTACGTGATTTGAATGTGCCAGGAGTAACATAGCTATGCCATGAACACAGACACCAAACAGAAAGCAAAGACAATACAGGAAAAAATGAATAACTTAAGACGCACGCTCATACAGGGACCACAAAACAAAGAACTATTGGATCCCTCCACAGAACTGGGACTGGACTGCAAGAGCAAATTCTGTTCACAGGCTTGAGGCTCAATCAATTAGAAGGCAATAACATCAACAAACTTAGTTTAGTCACCATTAGACTCAGTTAATACGCTCTGCCTTCTGATTAGCTACTGACACAGATTGAAAAGCAGGATCAAGTTCCAGGGAGGCGAGCGGGACCTCTGCAGGTACAGCTAGCTGCTCAAATAAACACTATTACAGGATTAGGGCATAGAGACTTCTGTGAAAAAAACCAAAACAACTAAAGTTGTATCTATTTAGAAACACTGCACAGTTGTCAAATGTCACAGTTGCATTTTCAGAACAGATTTGAGTTAAACTAGCTGCATTAAGTCAGTTTTATTGCCTTTCCTGTAGTAACAACATTCCGATAGCAATGGAAGTTAAAACGTCATCTATTCTTCAACATATACGCTATTAGCTTGCTGAACTACGCTCCACTTGATCAAAACAGATTAGCCAGTTTCACCCTCAAACCACCAAAGCATCACAACTTCTTAAAAGAGGCCTCTCCTCTTAGCTTTACAGATTCTTTATGATATGAGAGAAATGTTGTGTAATCACTGCATTATGGAGGTGTTATGCCCACCAGACAAAGATATTGTTCTGATAAACCATTTCAAACTTTCATAGTTTATTTCGTAACTTCAAAAGGCTATTTATCAAAGACTTTTTGTGTGGTTGAACTTAATAAAATACATTATTTCCAATATTTGACAAAACCTTTTTAAGCAAGGAAGTTCATGGATCTATCTGTTTGCAAAAGAATGTCTCTAGACCTTTTGAAACTTTAATTTTTTTTTAATTAAAACACATGCACTGAAACAAAAGCACATGCCAAATACTATTAAAGTAAGCCTTCTTTAATGAGATTTTGCTGACCTCATGTATCAGCAGCACCACCATGTGTTAAATGAACAAGACATTTATTGCTGAGAGATTGCTGCTACTGCAGAATATAATCAACCATTTACAATTTAAGTAATAGATGTAGGCCTAAACAGTAACAATATTTTTACACCATGTTGCCATTCCAAACTTGCAAAGCCTTCAACCCATCATAGCATTTTGAGCAATATTAGAATTGTAAAGAGTTAAGAGAAAAAAAAAACAACTTATTATTTTTCCACTGCCAATGAAAGAGAAGAGAAAGAAATATCCCTGAGAAGGACTAAATTAGATCTAATGTCAGATGCAGTGAATGGATTCAGTATATCACCATGCACAACTCAAGAGGGAACGAAGGAAGAAAGAAAGAAAGAAAAGGCTTTGTACACTAATATGATACTAAGATTGGCATAAATAAATACTTCAGAAATACTATTCAAACGAATTGTAATATTGCTTAGTCCTAAAGTTACAGTAGTATTAGTGTACTTTATGCTTATACTATACGTAAATACTTCTTTAGAAGGTGTATTGAAGGTCAAAATTTACAAAATCTCAGATTATTAGGAGAACATTTATTAACATTACTTACTAATGTAAGTACTTACACTAACACGGGTTTTCCTGATATCTTAGGGCTGTTTAAAACTTCTATCATGGCTTGCTTTGTTTCTTCCATTCTTGCAATGTCACTAGAATCCACAACAAATATTACACCATAGGACTCAGCATAGTAATTTCTCCAGATATTTCGAATTCGTTTTCCGCCTCCTAAATCAAAGATTGTGACTTCAAAGCGTCCCTGTTTAAGGTCAATCTTGGAAAACCCAACTGTTGGAGCCACATCTTCAGGAGATTCTGTCAGAGTTCAAAGAAGAAAGCCTTCAGTAAAAAGTGTCCTCAGTTATTTAAAGAGGATTTTGCATTATGATTTGTGTAGCAAAATTCATATTTTAAAACCACAGAGCAAACCCACCCTGTTAAGTGACACCATATTGCTAACCACATATTTTTTACATTAAGATTTTCTCTCTCCTCAGGTTATTTCAAATAAACACACCAGTGTCTCAACCAGTTACTTGACATTAACTTAGATAGGAGCACCAAGGAGGAAGGGAAAGCTAAAAAATTCATTTTTTAAATATTTAACACCACAGTTAAATTGCAGTGGTGTTCAGTGTACTGCAGTTTTTACTTTCCCACTCACCACCAGTGCTCCCATATGAACAGTCATACAGCATTTGCATGGTATTAATCCAAGTTTGAGAAGGAAAACAAACAAAACAATTAATGCATGATGACCTGGGAAGCCTTCTACTCTGCTAAATTTATTCTTTATCCCTCATGGTGGCCAGAACAGCTTCAAAAGATCAAACCAAGGGCTGAGATGAAGTGACGGAAACCACGTTCTTCTGAGATGGAAACTGCTTGATTCCCTTCATCCTAGATCAGGTTTTGGCCTTTGCTTGTTTGTTTATTTTTATTGTTTCTGGGTTTTTTTAGTTTGTCACGCAAATATGCTAAAAAACTATAGCTTCATATTTAATACTTTTGCTTGCTGTCTCCCTTTCTGGAGTGCAAAGAAAACCTGCACTTGCCTCACACCACTAAGCTGTCGCTGCAGGGGTGAGTTAATTGGATCTCTGCAACTGTTTTATGTAGCTTGGTAGCATAAGGCAGGAGAAACGGATGTAAAATTCATCTTGTGGAGAGAAAGAAACGAAGGCACAGTCAAAAGCACTGAGCTCTGAAAAGTAGTGCAGAAGCTAAATCACCACCAGCCTTCTGCTACCACATTCCTTTTTTGAGTGAATCCTTTACACACAGCTGAGATGGGAATTCAGAACAGACCCCTTAGCCAGAACAGTGTAAGCCAAGACTCCAGCAAAACAAGGGTCCGGGACCCCCTTTTGTGAAAAACTACAGCTTCAAAACTCAGCAGACTTTACTTTGAAGAACATTTTGCACTGTGAGCCGTAAGTATGTGTAAAAAACAGGGTCTGCCATATAAGCTGCAGATCCATTTTGGCAAATAGGACTTTGGTGACCATGCTGCTTTGCCTAGGTTTAAGAGTCCCAAGAACTGTAATATATTTGCTTTCTGCCCAAACCCAGCAATCATAACTGCAGTCTCCTCCTACAGGCTGTACGACTAGCACACAGGCAAAAATACGGTTTTACCAACCCTGAACACTTAACTGACAGTTCTAATCTCTGCAAGCTCTGTTAAGGAAAAAAAACAATTGCTTTCTAAAGCAAGCACTAATCAAGCCCTGAAAAATAGTCACAGAAGTCAGAACTATCTTTTCCTGGAGTTTCCCTTTAGAAATACCCTTTTTTATCACATTTTTTTCCCAGAAAAAAAGGACTTTTAGAAATAGCTGTCACATTTAGCTGATAAAGGCATTAGCGTTGATTTTGAAAAAGAATGAAAGGCCAAATAACAAAGCACTCAGGGCAAAGATTCAGGAATATAAATGAGAGAATATTCATAACTTTATTCACACTTTAGCAAGTCCGTGAACTTACATAACATGCGTAAACAGAAAATGGAGGTGGAGTCTCCAAAGTCTGCCAAAACACTACTGAGTGCTCTCTTGTTATTACACAAGATGAAAGTTATTTAGAAAAACAATCCCACAAGGGGAAAAAAAAAAAAGAGAATTTTTGTTTTCATAAGCACAAGTTTTATCTCAAATTATATCCTGCTTGCATGTGTCATTGCGTGGTGCAAAGTACCCTCCAAAATCAAGTGGTCTCTTACTGAAGTGTCTAGAAAAGTGCTAGTGCTTTTCTGCAGATAAATAATGATAAAAAATATGTACCGCTAGAACCACCTTTTATGTCATTCACATAGACATGCAATTTCCTTCTTTTGAACCTTTTCCTTATTACACATACTTACAACACCGATTTTTATATAAAGTTTACTGATGTATGTGCGTTAGTGGATGGTCACCTGAAAGCAACTTCAGCACATGCACACAAGGGGGAAAAAAAAAAACCAAACCAAAGAAACCCATCAGGTCCATTGATTTCTCTAATGTATACTAAGATGTAAGCCACATCATTAACCAGAATATTTGGTATCACTGCCCTAATGCAAAGTAATTATTAATTAGAATGTGGTCTACAGCCGTCAAGAGTTTTTATCCTACACTTTCACTTAAAGCAACTGATGGGAGACAGACTGCTTGCCTGTAGTTACAATGTTCCTTCAGCTATTTATTGAGCTACTGAAAAAAACCCTTTCCTCTAGTCCAAAAATATGCTGTGATGCTCATGAAATTTAAACAAAAACCCAGGACATAATTTTTCTCAATTTAGCATTTTGCACAGTTAGCAATCCAGTGGTAAACTCAAAGCACATAAGCACCAAGGTACTCTAAACATTCAGTCTTAGCGTTTCCAAGATAATGAAACACCTCTATGCACTGTTTTTTTCTGTCTTGGTAGACTAAGGGCTCTAATGCTGCATGGTGCAATAACTTAAGAGGCAACTCTCTCCATACTATCTACCTTGCCTCTACACCATACTAATACCTTTGAAAAATACGTAGCAGATTGGTAGGAACTATGTTGAACTACCACTGATTTGGTCTACCTTAGCTCAACAAGGTGTCAAGTTCAGTGGCCAATGAGCAAATAGTAGCTTGCTCTGCTACTTCTCCTGAGCATAAAGCACATGACTGGGAGCACCTACTTTTAAAGTCACCCTAGCATGACTTTCCTGATATCAAAAATCAGGATCTTGTTTCAAAGTTAAGACCCCTTAATTTTTCTCTCATCTGCAGGCCTTCACACCATGGGGCCTGTGACATGCTTAATTTGGCAACCACACTTGTACCACTTTTTGGTGGTACAATTACCAACATTTTATTTCAATAATATGGAACGGAGAGATAAACTAACAGATGTAGCAATATTTTCAGATTAAAATGACAGAAAATTAGTAATTATACTCTCTCTTTCAATATTCCATTTAGATGATAAACAAATTAATTGCTTACCTCCTTGAATTCCTCGAACCGTAGCAGTTTTACCAGCATTATCAAGACCCACCATTATTAGTGTCACCTTCCTCCATAAGGAGAAAAAAAAAAAATTAAAAAAAATCAGATTTTTTTTCCTCTAGGTATCACTTATTTTAAGTTTTTAAACACATGCACAGCAAATTTACCACAAAGTACTAGAAAGAATAGGTATGAAAATACCAAGTAGCAGGCATTGTTACAATTGTGTTTCTAGTGTCAATATGTCAAACCATCTGATTAGACAAAACAGCAGAACAAGGTATGAAATGAGAAGTCTAATACTGTGCTGTAAGTTTCACATGAGACAATGATTTTTACTTTCGACTTGTATTTGCCTGCTGAAATTTAATTTCACAGTACTGTACATTTTATCCTTTTTTTTTGGTGTGGTCTTTAACAATTTCTGTAATTTCATTTCCATCCCCCTGTATTTTTACCATTTCTCTGCCTCAAAGTTGTGCTTATACTAGAAATTTATTTCTGCCTCAAACAGTGCATCTGAACAGCACTATACATTATACAACACTTGTGCAGACAACAGGTGCTGTAAATAAGCAACACTGGTACTTCTCATGCCTCCGTTTCAAGCAGGAGCAATCTAGACTGCAAATGTGCAAACCAGTGGTGTTAAGTACGTACAATATATTAGCAAACTGGTAAACAGGTTAGAATTTATACCAGAATAGGATTTTAAATAGGCAATAGGAAAAAAAGATATCTATGTATATACCTCAATTGTTCCTCCTATTCACAAAGACTCAGAGGAATCAAAGGAATTTACTCAATTTTACACCCCTTTAATTGAAGAAATACTAAAAACATTGTTATTTCCAGTCTTAAAACTATAATAGCACCATACATGAAGTATAATTTACGCAAGTTCTTTCAGAGAGCCAAAAAGCTTTGAGAAAAGAACATAAAAATGAACAGTAGGATCATAGTAAGTTATACTTTAACTGTAAGCTAAAATCAGAACAGCCACGAACATTTACGAACTCACAGTTGTCTACAATACATCCATGGTGTCAGAAAACTACTCAGTCCAACATAGTTTTTTCAACAGCAGCACCTTACATAAAACCTAAACTATGTAGCATTGAAGAACAGAACAAATCCTCCTACATGAGTGTGGAGTATAAATGAGTGTGGAGTACCCTTTATTTCCCTTCCCCATAGTTTGTTAATCGCTTGAAACAAACTATGCACTATCTGTGCACCTCTGCTAATTGGAGAGAAAAGGATGCAGGATGTCAAAGTAGAAGTAACAGAAACAAACGAGAACGGCATATTACCATAAGTGAGAATGGATCACCAGGCTACCCATAAAATGCAGTATTAAGATACTTAGACTATAGTAAGAAAACTAGTATTACACTGGGGCTACAGTCTACTCCTGACAACAAAGCGTTTTAACACATTACACTTCAGAATCTCAAAATGCAGACACTATATCAATAAGGCAAAACCAAAATAAACTTTACATAAACATTGTAGCATCACCCCATAATGCTCAACTTGAAGAAAGGATAATATGTGAAGGATAATATTTTGAATTTTATACTTTCCTGGTGTCAGAAACAAAGTACCTGAATAGAAGATGTTAAACATTTCATTTTTAAGTTCAGAAGATGTATCGATTCTCTCTTGGAGGAAAAAAATGACAGATTTTGTCTCAGAATTAAAAAATATAAGAGAATGTAACATAGCAAATAAAGCAAAACATAGGTGAGAGGACATGAAATACAGTTTGGGAAGGTCAGCACAGAAGTGTAAAATACTGTCACATGTTTACCTGACAGGTTCCTGCCACCGTTTTAACCAGCTGCAGCAATTGGCCATTAGACTGAACATCCCTCTTCACTAGCCATCCAGAGCCACAAAAGCTACAGAAACAAGGTGGACAGGCCAGATAACCTAAGACGACTGGCAAAGAGACTGCAGAGGCCCAGGTATTGTCTTGTCACTGCTAGAAAGAAAAGAAGAAAAAAAAAAAAAAAAAAAAAAAAAAAAAAAAAAAAGAAATGCATAGTTAGCCCCTACATATAACCAAGGGAAGCCATTTCCCTAGCAGCAGCTTGTCTATTCAGAGTGCATCATATTCAGTCAGCCCCATGACAGTCTCATTATGTCTTTCACTTTTCCATCCTCTCATACTTCATCTGTGCCCATTTTACATATCTGGGTAGCAACAACACAATACTCATACAAAATAATAATGCAAGACCACTGCACATAAAGAAATCTGTAAGTTTGAGCAGTAAGACACATCAAGCTATGAAATTCCACTGTTTACCTTGCTAACACATCCCACAGCTCTGATGATTGACAGAAAATAAGGACCAATTTCAAGCATGAGGGAGTCTTGTAAGAACATAACAGGATAAGACACTAAAAGCAAACAAAGAACGTCCTACCTGTTAAATATATTCATTTAACTGTCAACTTCTTTTACACAAAAAGATCCCACAACACAGAAACTGGGTTCTCTAGTGAGCGTTTTGAGGAACTGTCAACTTAATATCTAGTAATTGTCACTAAATTAAGTAGAAGTATCAAATACTTCCATCATTTTGCAATCCCACTTTCTACTCTTGAAGCAGGAGAAAGAGAGACTATTCCTCTTTCTGATGTTGCTCTGTCAAACAAACAATGGAGAATAACTGTGTGATCATGTCATGTTTATTGCTTTGTATGCACACTTAGCTATGAAACAGTAAGCTTACACAAACCATGCAGTCAAGTGCATAAAGTTGCAAAAGCTTTAAAACTCCCTTAGTTAATCACTACAATAATCCTACTGCGTACAACTGTAGTTGTCCAGCTGCCTTTCACCAGCAAGCTTTGGGAAATTGCACTTCTTAAGTTCAAATCCACAACCTCCCTGCTAGGATGATGCACCAAGTCGGCTGTTCTTTTCTTCACAGCAGCCTGTATGGTGCTGCGCTTGGTATTTTTAGTTAAAACACTGATGATAACACATGAATATTTTGACTATTACGGGACAGTGCTTGCACAGCATCAAGGCTTTCTCTCTTTCCCACTCTGTGCTGACCCTTCTCCCCCAGCCAGTAGGCTGGGGTAGGCAAGAGATTGGGAGGGGACACAGCCAGGAGAGCCATATGATGTTGTGCTCAGCCTTAAAAATAGCTCAGGGAAAAGATGAGGAAGGGGGAATGTTCATGGGCATCGTGTTTGTCTTCCCAAGGAGCCATTAAGCATGATGAGGCCCTGCTTGCCAGAAAGTGGCTGAACATCTGCCCATTGAAGGGAAGTAGTGATTAATTCCTCTTTTTGCTCTGCTTTGAGCATGCAGCTTTTGCTTTCCCTGTTAAACTATTATCTCTATCTGCGAGTCTTCTCATCTTCCTTCTATCTTCTCCCCATCCTGTAGGAGAGGGGAGCGAGCAAGTCACTGGGTGTGTGTTTAGCTGTTGGGCAGGGTAAACCCACCACAGTCTTTCTGGGCGCCCAATGTGGGGCTAAAGATAATGACAGCTTTGACTTGAGCACGTTACAGTTGTTAATTGGCAGGCTCCTGTGCTGGTCACTGAGCTTGCTTACTTTACCGCGTATTAGAGTCTGGCACATGTTAGAGGCTGGAAAAGGCTATGTAGGTTGCTCCTCCTTTGGGAAAAGGCAAAGCCACTTTGGGATTATGTTTGCTCAAGTGCAGTTGGTGGGTAATGTGGAAGGATGGGGAAATCTTGTGTGTATCTCAAGGAGATTTAAACTTGAGGGAAAATAAGCCGTGATTTGAGTTGTACGTTACAGGAACAGTACAGCAGGAACCACTTGAACCAAAGGAGGATAAGCCTCATGAGGAACCGACGAGTGTGGCGGTGACTTAACCCAAGTGGGTCTTAGCACCCAGCAGTCCAACATGCCACTTCCCCTGACGCGAGTGAGCGTGACCACATCCAGAGATGGAGCCCAAATCACCAACTGTTCTTATTCGGGGGGGCAAGGGGGGCTATGCAATAGGGCAATAATATTCATGCATGCATCATGGTACAGGGGGTGGTGGTTAATGACATACCAATCTCTCCTCCAGAGATTATCACAACCCTTGCAGAAGTAATATGCGCTCTCTCCTCAGCTCACAGGCTCATACCATCTTAGCTCATATTTTGACCAGCAGCTGAAGCTAAAAAAACCCAACTGGATTCATATCAGAGCAGCTGAGATGCAGACAGATATTCCCTACTGCTAACTTGCCTCCATGAGCAGATTAACTGAGAATAGTGACACTTTGAATTACCACAGCAAGTTTCCTAAAGCTTGTTTATCAAAATTTCTTTTTAAAAAAGCCAAAACCAAAGAAATTTCTTTCATATTTTAAATGATAACTAACCTCAAACAAAGGTAATTTCAAATGATGCAGAAAGCTGAATAATTAAATATGATAACTTTCCAAAGTTGTCATCTTCCCAATTTAGACCAATAAAAGTGGAGGAAAAAAAAAAAAAAAAAAGAAAAAGAGGAACCATCCCTAACAAGCAGATTTTGTCCCTAACAAACTACGATGGTTTAGATAATTTATACAGGTAGGAACTGAGAACTCCTCCTGATCATATGAAGCTGCTGTATTCAAGGATGCCTTTGTGTGGATCTGTCATCATTCAATGTCAGAAACAGGTCAGACTTCTTTCACAACAGAGACAACATATTCTCTTTAAATATTTATATTTCATTATGTGAGAGCACCTGAGAATAGCTTCTCCACAGGAGAGCTTAGCGTGTGAAGAGCAGATAAGTTTCTAAAAAGTTGTAATCATCTCACTCTTCTATTACAAGTATTAAAATTGAGCTTGGAAGAATCAAAAAACCCCTCAAAACCCCTCACATGCAGTGGAGTGTGGTGTGTTAACCTACAAGCAAGTGCCAACAAAGCTAACTTTGAGAACATGGCTACACAAATTCTTGGCTAGTTGTGCTGAAAAGCAAAATGTAACAGCTCAGTGAACAACACACTGACAAAAGTGGAACATTTTCAGAGCCTGAGCATCATCAGAGAACAATTCCCATCCCATATTATACAAATTGTCTAGCTTTGCAAATCATCACAAAATTGCTCTAAAGCACAGGTATGGCCCATAACATTCAAATGGGATGTATGAGATGAAGAAAACTTGTTAGAGTAAAGAGCAGAGGACAACTACGTCATAGTAGAGGAATCTTGTTTAAATACAAAACCCCAAAGGGGGTTGAGCAGGAGGTGACAAATAAGATAAAAATTTTCCAAGACATGCCGCTACAGAAAGAAAGGGCATTCAACACTGCTGAGAAAATATGTTAGGGAGGGAAATAACATTGTATTGTGCTATTTTGGAGTGACTGTATTTCTTGCACTAGCGATAGACAAGAAAATTGATCTCTGAAATATGTATGGAACATACTACATGTGTTTTGTATGTTGCATAAACGACAACCAGAAGTTGTTCCAGATAATATATCTGGCAGCTTGAACTCTTTATGCTTGTTGAGGTAGCAAAACCAAGCCCACAAGCTCTGAAATATGTAAAACTGTAGTTAAACTAGTATACCATTTAGCTGGCAGGTCAGCAAAAGCGTAAAGGGCTAAGGATGTCAAAGGTTCCATTTTTAGGTAAGAGAACAGAAAAAGCGTACTACAGAGACTAAGAAAAACATGATAGATAATGGCATTAACCCTTTACACTCTAGATTTAGATCACGAGCTACTTAGCAGCCCGTATCTTACGTGATCCAAAGTACCAGCAAGTCCAACATCCAAAGTCATCTGATGAATAAGTTTATCTGCTTCCATATCAAAGTACAAAACAAGCACCTTTTTACACATTTTACCATCAGAGTTTAATTTAAATGTTCTGCCTTTGGTAGAGGCTTTTATGGTAGAGACATTTTCTCTGTCACGCCAATCTCTCACTTTCCTTAAAATATACTTTTCCTGAAAGCAAACCATTTAAAGCTGACCCTCCTCATAAAGTTTAATTACTTAACTTTCCACCATTATGTTCCTTGCCTGACTTGCTTGAATTTTTAAGAACATAGTATTTTAGTTGTGTTATATTCTGAAGAGCAAACCAAGTGACTGAACAGTGAAGGAGGCACATTCCACTAAAATCTGAACACCATCCTTTCTGCCAAATTACAGTGTAGTTAACAAGAACACGAAGTGCAAGCAAGAACCGTAACATCCTGAAAGGCCCAAAACATAGAAGTATTTGCGAAAAATAGCCCTAGGACCACCCGTTTTTCTGTAAAGTTACTACGAGACTAAGTAGTTCAAGTGAGTTTCCACACTTTCCAGCCAAGCTCCTACCCTTCTTGTGTTTCCAAAAAAGAAGCAGCCCTAAAATCCAGTGACTTTGGTTCAGCCATGTTTTCTTAGCTCTTCTCTTCCACTGTGGGAGGGCTTTTTTTGTTTTTTTAAATCAACATTTCCAAGAAAATCCGCTTTATATTGCCTAAAGACTTAGACGCAGGCTGCCAAACACCCACAGCCCCAGGCTGCCACTACGGACACACACCGACGCGTTTCACACGGCGAGGCTGGAGCGGAGCTACAAGAAACTCGGCCGGAGCTCCGTCCGCCGGGAGTCGCGCAGGGGGCTCG